CTATAGGGTGTTTTAAGGAATATCTTTAACTGAGTAGCTTTGTTTTACTTTCCCTTATATTTATTTTTTTGGCGCATGTAGCCAACTCGTGCACAATCAGAAAGCTAGTGTAATGGTGGGACACCATCTTTACTAGTCTCGGGCAAACTCCGCCTTTTGTTTTCACTTCACCCCGAAGCCTTGCTTTGGCCTAAAGTATTCGGCAGGCCAAAAAAGGCTGGCCGCTAGTCTTGAGGAAACCTGCAATTGGCTAGATCAGGCCCCGGAAGTAACTGTGGAAACACTTGCACTGGCTTGCTCGGTTTAGGTGCGACAGTGGAAATGCGGCTAGTGTCTTTGAGGAAGTGAAGAGTCAAGTGTGTTTGTCTGTGCTCAGATCATTGAATAAAGAGTGGTAAAGGCTCTCGGATGCAATGAAGGTTTTCAGGTTCGAATCTATGAATCTACTGTATGTAACATTGATGTAGATGCATATGGAAATGTATGGAGCACAGCCCACACAGAAGTGTCTCTCAAAGGCAAGCAGATTTGTGTTGGTGAGTGTGGCGAATTTGCATGACCAAATGAACATCTGTTTGGGGATATCTTTTGTCATCAAGTGGAATTCTTGATTGTGTGAATTCGCACTTAAATGTCTGTGAAAAGGTGCCAAACAAAAGAATTTTTAAATAATAATGTAATAATAAAGTACTGTGTAAAAAATGGCAGTGATTTTAATGATAAGAAACTGTAAAAATGCTACAAACAGTAAGTTACCCCAGCTGTTGTTTTTTACCATACATTTAAAACATTTGTTTTTACAGTGCATTTTGTTCTCGCTTTCCCTGCAGAAATATCTAAACAAACTTAAAGCATTGCGTAACACTGCATAAAGAAAAAAAAGCATGGTCTCAATATAAATCATTTCAGAAATCAAAGAAAATATTTTCTTTTAATAGATAACATAACAAAATTATCGATTAAACGAATATCTTTTGTAGTGTACTACCTTAGTTCTTGTTAAAAAAAACCACTTAACTCAAGGATTCTCCTGTGGGCTATATAATTAAACTGATATATTAATATATTTATCAGAGATCATGTAAAAGCATATGTTGCTTTAGTTTTCTTTCCCTAATTAGGAATTTTAATTTAGAGAATTTGCTGTAAAAATGTAAAAATAGCTGTTGTGAATTGTATCTTTTTGCAATTAAAACTTTATTATAAACATAAAAGTTTTAAGATTGATTATTGGTGATTGGGTGTCAGGCTGATAGGGTAGCTTTACTTGGACATAGGAAAATTAAGACCAGTTTAAAATGATTTTGGACCTACAGCAGCATATTTCAGTGAATGTAAAACTTTTTAAAGCCTAAATTTTTCTTTTTTAAATTTAAGATATTTTAAGACATTTTAAGACTTTTTAAGACCCCGCGGACACCGTGTATCTATAATTAATTAATGAATTATTGATATTTATTTCTTATTATATATGTGTTTTATTTATATATTACATTTTATTTATATATTACTTTATAAAATTATTTAAAATTTTATTTTATTTATATATTACTTCCATTATATGTTTTATCATAGTCTTTAGTCAAACCAAAAAAAAAAATGACAAGAAACTGAAACTGCTCCAGAACAATCAGTTACCAGAGCTGTTGCTTTCTTACCATACATTTAACAGATTTGTTTTTTCAGTGTATTTTTCTCTCTATTTCCAGCAGAAATATCTAAATAACCTTAAAGCATTGCGTAACACTACATAAAGAATATATCAAGCAACATGTTTCTTACACAGCAAATAAAATTAGGCATAAACCCTTGAAAATGAAGTGATGTTTATGTTTAAAACTAATGGGCTTGAAAAAAAGCATGGTCTCAATATAAATCATTTTATAAAAAAGATAAAATATTTTATTTTAATGGATAACAAGACAAAATTATTGATTAAACTAATATCTTTGCAGTGTTCTACCGTAGTTCCCATTAGAAAGCACTTAACTCTAGGATTCTCCGGAGGGACAGACCCTGTTGCATTTGTTATTCATTAGTTTTGAAATCACCCCATATAAGCACCACCGGTCATTATTTGTGCTGCCATTTGGGCCTGTATATTTAGTTTGATATCAAAAATCCTTTGTATCTGACCAATCAAAGTCTGAAATGCTTTATGTTTATTTATTTCTATATTTTAAAGCAAGTGTCATGCTTTGTTTTACCCTGTATTGTTAGCTCTTTGGTCAAATTTGTTGTTCTAAAGTGCATTATAAATAATGTTGAATTGAATTGAAAACTAAAATCTGAAAATCACTTTTTTGTAAGACTTAGGGCCCACACACTTAATTGTGTGGTGTCAGTATGAGTATTGCACTGCTCTTGAATGTATTTTAGCTTGTTAAATATTTATGATTCGGGATCAGGGAGGCCCTGACTTGAAAGCAGTAAAATAATCGTAATGACACCATGCAATTGATTGGGCCGCCTTCAACGGGGCGCTCACAACAGCCATTGACAGCGAGCAAGCTTCGCCAACATGGCAGTCACAAAAGTGGAGTATTGACAAAGATCAACTTGCTGATGATGCTGATCATCCTCCATATTTGTTTTTTCTTCTACAGTCAAGTTTCTGTGGGATCTCGTGTCTGTGGAATCATCTAGCATGTGCCTTTAAAGGATTGTAATGTTAACAAATGCTTTAAAAACCAGCTACGATTTGAAAATCGTTGAGTTTATCCCAGGCCCAAGTTTATTAGCAAGGGATGAGCACTCTTCTAACCATCTGTGCACATGTTGCAAAACCATGAAGCTAAATGAAGTGTAACAAAGTGGTTTAGATTTGCTGAATGGAGTCTGGACTGTGGCGCTATTGCTTAGCTGTGTGCAAATAAAATAGTTAGTTGTAGGAGAAAAGTACAATAAAGTGCTACAACTGATCTGGTACATTACACAACATTGCAGTTTAGTCTTTCATACCTGCTGTCTATTTCCCTTCATTTTTCTCATTTCATGTATGTCACTGCATAACTATATAATATGAAGAATTTGAGTATTGACCTTATTCTTGACGTGCAAGTGAGTGCAGCCATAAGAGTCTTTTTGGCTCAAGTCTTCCGGTCTTATTCACTTTTATTGTTTTCTAGATGTTAAAAACAGCTCGTCATGCTGCTTGATGTTGCAAACTGATCTTTTCTTATTATATTATTCTACATTTTATGCAAAAGTCATGAACACACTTGTTTGTAGAGCACATAGTTTGTTTGTTTTCTGCTGTTTGTTTTTCCTAGTCATTTCTAAATTCTGAATTTTTAAAACCATCGCAAAAATGAGCGCATTCGGCATTTCAGAATAAGGTCAAAAGCTATATGCACAGTAGGGTTGAGTGCCTAAAACCCAGGGCAGTTCCTTTGTAAACATTTTTTCCTGTCAAAGAATACAGGTAGGTGGAATTTTTACAGCTTACCAAGAATCATTTGAGGTTATTAGTACTGTAAGTGGCCAATGAATTTAAACTTTTACACACAGTCCCACTCATCAATGTCAGTTTCAAAGCAATAGACCAATCAGAAGAACTTAGATCTGGGGCAAGCATTGTGAGCTTTTGTTTACAGCAAGCGGAAACCTCCTGCTCCTCCTTGTGAAGCCAATACGGAAGTAACTGAAACTGCAATTCATCGACTTGCCTTTGAGGCCTGGCTCCAGAAAGTCCAGATGTTCACTGACTACAATGCTAAATTGGCCAATTTTACAGCTGATAAAAACATGTTTACAATCTGGTAAAAAAATGGTTTTGGTGCATATAGCTAATATTACCATTCATAACAACGTTTATGGGGTTATTTGTTTATAACTCATCCGTTTTGTTTTTATTAAGTTAAATTAAATCTGCATAGTTAAGGACGTGGCCATTTGAGTGACAGCTAGATCTTGCTGGTCGCCGTCACTTCACCTCAGCTGATTCCGGCTGATTAGCTGCTAAACTCAGCATAGACATTGTTTTGTTTAATGTTTCTTTACACAGTCAATTGCCTTTTGGAATTATTTCCTACAATTATCGAATAATATGGCATGCTGTGTGCACTTAATTGTGCTGACAAATCATTCAAGTTGCCTTTATTTAAATGTGAACGAAATTGTATACTTATATAGCATATCTATAAATGTATTTGTTTATTTAAGATAAACTATCATTTATAATTTTCTTTAAACTCCAGAATCTGAAAGATTGATTAGCTGTAGGCTCTAGAACAGTCATCTAGAACAGACATCTGAAATGTTGTCATACACTGTTATGCCTGGATTTGATCAGTAGCCTTGCATTTACAGTACTAACACAAAATATATTTGACGTATTTGGAAGCAATTCGCTCCACTGATGCTCCGTCTTTTTGCTGTTTTTTTGACATCCCAGGTTGGTGTGATGATGTGTGAACAAATTGGCAATGGTTGGCCACGCCTACTTGTAGCTTCATTTGCGCTCTTCAGAAACCTATGGGTGATGTCAGGGATACTACGTCCAAATCTTTTACAGTCTATGGATTACAGTAGTAAGTTGAAATTAAAAGTTTTTTATCTGATGGTAACAAGGAAGAGAAGACTTTTTAGATGCAAAAGACATGCTCTGTGTGAATAGCGCCTAACTGTTATTTTACAGTATTAAACTACTCTAGCTGAAGTTTGGTGGCTTAGGATTCATTGTAAATTTGATATATAAGAACTATAAGAAACTTTGCAAGTACATATCAACTTACACTAATCCAAACCCTAACAGTCAAACAACATTCTAATAAGAATTAGTTAGCATGTAGTTGCAAAGTAACTTAAACTGAACCAAATGTGTAAAGGGACCTTCAAAATAAAGTGATACCCAATTGAAAAGTGGGTCTTTTTAAAGTATTGGTTCATGAAACATATAGGCAGCATTTATGTATCATTTTGTATCGAGTATCAATCCCCAAAACAATTCCGAACCCTAGTCATATGCCAATCTGCATGTAAACAGATATAGTACGTACACTCACCATGTTCCAGGTATGATGGAGTGCCTTCAGACGGGTCCAGTCTGCGAGCTCTGCGTCCATGTTTAGAGTTATTGTGAACAAACATGTTATCAGACACAGCCAGGACGTGTCCATCCACACTGACCGTCGTTGACACAACCACCTGCAGAAAACAAACAATGATTTTACTTCACTTGACCCACAAAGACACACTCCGTCCTTGTACACAAATGAATACAGGGCTCAAACAAACAGCTCAAGTGTTGGAGGAGCACATGCACACAGTATGAGTGTAAGTAACAGCCGACTGATAAATTGACATACAGGCACATTTCACCAGAGAGCCTGGAACAATGACAGCAGCTAACAGCTCTCACCGAGTTGAAGACATAGACTAGAGGCGTCCCACAGCAACTGAGGAGACTCTTGATTTAAATGGCTCTCAGGCTTTGAGAGGTCTCTCAATCTCAAGAGACGAGAGGCTCGATGAGACTTGGCAAACATCGCTTACATTATCCCTGTTCTGGGCAGCCACTTCATTCTCTCAGAGCTTTCTTTTTTCCCCCTCTTCTCCCTCTTTATCCGTATTTCTTGATATGTTCTCTAGTGCTCACACTTTATCTAAGAAATCGGTCTTTGGACTTACTACATTATAATCGTTTTAGTGAAATCCGATGGGTTTTCAACTGAATATCAAATAAGCATAATTAGTTCTTTTAAATTAAAATAAAAAATGTTAGGGGTGACACGATGGCTCAGTGGTTAGCACCATTGCCTTACAGCAAAAAGGTCACCGGTCCCGACTGGGCCAGTTGGAATTTTTGTGTGGAGATTGAATGTTCTCTCTGTTATGGGTTACCTCTGGTTCCACCGGTTTTCGCCACAGTCCAAAGACATGCAGTATAGGTAAATTAAATGAGCTAAATTGGCTGTAGTGTATGAGAGTGAATGAGTGTGTATGAATATTTCCCAGTACTGGGTTGCAGCTAGAAGTAAAACATATGCTGGATAAACTGGCGGTTCAATCTGCTATGTTCATTCTGCCCCTGATGAATAAATGGAATAACCCGAAGGAAAATGAATGAATAAATGAATAAATGAATGAATGAATGAATAAATAAAAATATTGCAATTTAATTTTTTAAGTTTCTCTTGATTTATTATAGTTAAGTGTTTTTGTAAAACTTAATTTTAATTAAGCATTAATTTCAATTCTTAATTTTAATTCAAATGAAATTTAGTGTGTTTGCTGCATAAAATACCAACAAAAGAAGTGCCTTGTTTTTAGGCATTTTAGGCATATTCACATATTCACTTAGACAACACAATATCATTTTTTTTATATTCAGAATTTGTAAGAATAACTCTGATTTTCCCAAAGTATATACAATATATATTTGACAGAATTTTTGTTTATTCTTATGATTTTCAATAATAACGTTACATCATACAATTTGACCTCCTTTTTTAAAAACACTTTTTTTATTGTAAAAAGGTACATTGCTTCTTAGAATTATAAGGTTTTATCTTACATTTTTGTCAAATTAAATTATACACGTATTCTTAATGTCAACTTATTTTACATAATGTGATTTTTTAATAATTTGTTTACATTTTAAGTTTTTTATTTAAAAAACAAAAAAGGTTTTATCTACAAAGTTGAACTCTAGATTTGCTCTATAAGGTTCATTCTGTGAGCCAGTTAGGATTTTGAATGCACGCACAAGGACCAATCAGAATCAGCTTTCTTTGTCATTCCACCTGACTGCTCTGTTGACAGCGAGAAAGACCAGAAAGAAACACAAAATCAGAGTCGACTAATTAATGTAAAATTCTGAAACTGAAAAGATGTGTGTAAATGTGATGATTTAGAAGCATTTTTGACATTGAGATGATTTGTTAAATTTGACATTGTTTAAAAACAAACAGTTATTAAAAATGTAATATATTAAATGTGAAATATTTTTATTTGTGTATATATAGTCAGTAAAACATTTTTCAGTGTGTATTTAACTCATTTGCTCATTGTCTGTTTTCTTTTAAAGTCTTTAAATTTGATATTAATCCATGAAGGGCAATTTAATTTATAAGGCATATAATTCAATAAAAATAACTCAATTATTCATTTTAAGTATAAATTTCATTAAATATGACCATACTAATTATATAAAATAACATCTGCACTGGACAAAATATTTAGCACAGCCTTGTGTGCTTAATTTAAAATGAGAAAATATTCATCCTAAAACATTAAATAAATGTTAGAAAAAGCAAAAAATGTAACTCTCAAACATCAACAAATTAATACGACACCAATTTTTATTATTATTTTTAATTAATAAGCAGACTGATTGTGTTTCTTAAAAAGTAATGCTTCAATTAATGAATGATCTGCCAGATAGAACTTCATAATTCCAAGTGAAAAAAATCCCTTTTTTACTCCAATTTGCAAATTTAAGAGAATTTTGAAACTTAAATTTAGAGTACACTTAGGCTCTCTGTCATGTTAATGTATAAAAGAGAGCTGTAACACATATTATTTGCTATACGGAATGCAAAAAAATGAAGCTCAATATCTCAAAGTCAATTAGAATGCTGATTGAACCTTATAATTCTAAAATGACAATTTTTTCTTTCTTTTTTATCTTTATTAATGTATTTCCTAATAAAAGTGATGTTGTTAATGAAGGTTTTAATTAATTTTATGAATTAGACAATGCAAATTCACTTTTGTACACTTTTGTTTGGAGGTTTGAGAAGAAACGAGGTGGTTTTACCTGAAAGCGTCGCATGTCTCGTGGGTTCCCTGCATTCTTTAGGCAGTTCTGGTTACATTTGAGGAAGAATTTCAGGAAAAACCTGGACAACACAAAATTAAAAGACTCATGAGGTAAAAGTAAAGATGTCCGTTTTCTGTGACATTGACAATGACCTGCTGCATATGCATTCATAAGGTCATACACATTCACACACACAATGGCTAACACACTGGTGTTAGAAATGAAGTACGGGCCATCTGTTGTGAGAGTATAATGAAGAGTGAAGTCAACAAGAGAGAAATCAGGAGAGACTGAAACATATAATGTATGTAAAATAGATGATTTAAAGTGGCCTATTAAACTTTTTCAGGTATTACCTTTTAAAACAGAGAGCAATAAAGGTTTTTGTGAATGTAAAAGGTCTGCAGATCTTAAAAGATCAAAGTGCATTATGAACTGACTGGCCAGAACCGACCAATCAGAGCAAAGAAAGCACTTAGAAAAGACTTTAGAGAGACCAGCTTCATTAACCAACTGTTTCAAACACTGACAAAAGAGCATGTACTGCAATGTATATTAAAAGTTGTGAAGTCTTGGATGGATGTAAGGCTATTGTACTGTAAATAAAAACCTTTAAATTAGATTATCAGAGGACTTTATTATTCAGAGATGTAATATATCAAGGAGCTAGACTCACATATTTACTGTACAGTATGTACTTGTGCTCAACTTCCCAGGGGAACATCTAATATTGTGAATGTTGCAGTGCCATTCATCAATCAAATTAATAATGTGTCTAAAAATGATTTGCAAGTGTTTATTATGTATTTTAAGAACAACGATTTTAATGTTCGACCCAGTGAGCTTGTCAGATCTTGTATGTCTACGACTATTTTCCTTCCTTCTCGGTGGTCTGAAATGTACAATATTAATTATCACAGTGGGGATTCTCTCTGTTTTTCTTCATTCAGGATTTGGATTTCTGACTCACTGCACTGATGTGGTTGAGAATCCACGTCTGTCTGCAGCATCTATCCACTATTATATCTGTGCTCTGTCACTATTCACGCAAACACAGTGACTCTCACAGTTTGGGTTGTCAGCGACTGGTGGAGTCTTAGTGATGACAACTTCAACAAAATATCTTACATTCAGCAACACATACTTTCACTGAGCTGTCAAAAGGAGAACATGTTGTTTTAGACTTGTCTTGCTTTTCTATACACTGATATGCATTATCATAATGATTAAATTGATCAAAAGAGATGCCCAAACTAGGGCCTGAGTGCCAAAGTTGGCCCGCACTGTAACCTTTGATTTGGCCCGTCAACCCATCCAAGAAGAGAGGGAGAATTTTGGCGAGGGTTGGGGTTAATGCTTTTAATACACAGTAAATTCTAATTTAATGTAAGCTTTCATTTGTTAGTTTAATTTTTAAGCCGCAAAAAAAAAAAAAAAAAAAAAAAAAAAAAAAAAAAAAAACGAACTAGAATTAAATAATACAGAGCACTAATCTGAAGTCCTCAGTGAGCAAATCAAAGTAAAGGCAGGTGCAGCTTGACTAGTGTATATGGCATTAAACTCCATAATATTTTAAATGCAATTAATATGTTTACATTATAATAGGTTCATTACAAAGTGTAAAAATATATAATGAATTAGTTAATATGGTTAAAGTAATGTTTTCTATAAATTTTTAAATACTCCAGGAAATTATTCATATAAATTTTGTAATACAGCTTGATATATTTTCCTAAATCAAGTTTGTTTTTTGGCTCATCATAAGAAAAAGTTTGGGCAATCCTGATTAAAAGTAACAAAGAGCATTCAAAATCTACCCAACAAACTCACTGTCTAAATGAACATTTTTAAAAAATGATGACAATAAATATAACTTACTTAGCATCCATATCAGCATATGATTCTGTTCATTATAACAATGTGCTTCTTCTGCTACTTTAAATGCCACTAATATTAATTAATAATAATTCTTTACATTTATATCACTCAAAACACTTTATGCATTGGGGGGAACCTCCTCATCCACCACCATTATTATGGTGACCGAGAGAGATTATTGTGCTGCAATTTAAGAAGCGCAACAAAAACACCAGCAAATTAAGAAAAGATCTTCATCAGTTTGACTGCACACTTGCTGCAGATCCTCACAACGCATACACAGTAAAAAATCGTGATGCATTTTCCCACAATGCAAACAAATTAATAAAACGGCCTGCATTTTTTCACAACACTGAAAATAACTAGAATAACTAGAATAACTAGAAAATAAAACAGAACCCAATGGAAATGTTTCAAGGAGACCCTAAAACATTGCGTTGTAAGAAAATGCAGCCCATTTTCTTAATTTGTTTCCGTTGTGAAAGTTTGCACAAAATGTGAGTGAAATGTGTGCTGTCAAACCATTAAAGATCTTTTCCTAATACGCTGGTGTTTTTATGTAATTGCATGTGTAGCTCTCTCGGCCGCCATATTTTATTCTCTTTCTAATCTGGTTTTCAATGTTGCAAAAAGACAATCATCTAAACATGATTCTAAATTGTAGTGTGAACTCCACTATTGTGTTAAAGTTGGAATGTTTTTTTATTGCTATGAATATAGTTGTTAGTGTTAACAGCCTTTGCATTACAGGAATTTTTATCTTAAATGAGTTGTCTTGTTGTCCCAGAGATGGGTTGCGGCTAGAAGGGCATCCGTTGCGTAAAAACTTGCTGGATAAGTTGGCGGTTTACTCCGCTGTGGTGACCCCGGATTAATAAAGGGACTAAGCCGACAAGAAAATGAATGAATGAATGAATGAATGAATGAATGAATGAATGAATGAGTAGTCTTGTACAAAAATATCTGTTAATTATTCAACGGTTTCCGTATTTTTATGATTTACAAGACTTTTCCGTTTATTTATGGTTGCATTATGAGATGTTGATCTCTGCTATTTCCACTTTTGATGTTGAAAATTCAACTCTACAGTTTAACAAAGTGACTTTTATTGACATATGGTAGTTTAAAGTAATATAATGTATGAGAAATAATATACAGTGAAATAAGTCTGTAAAATTCTGAAAATGTACTGGCAGTTTATTAGAAGGTTTTTATACCATAATTTACAACAGGGATTCCCAAACTTTTAAGCCCGCAGCACCCAAAATAACAATGTCAGTGATTCGCGATTCTCTAAGGTGATTAAAAAAATTACACCTTGCATGGAACGGCACGCACACGCACCAATAGGCCCAAGTTTGTTCTTTGTTTATTTTTATTTTTATCTATGTGAGTGCTGTAAATGTTCCAGAAAGTTTAACCTGGTGTCAAAATCTAATCTAAATCTAAATCTGCTGCATCTGACACTATTGATGAGTCTGTAATCACCCCAAGGGTCGCGATTCAAAAGAAAAAATAAAATAAAATTGAAAGGCTGCAACTATAAACTACTATTTTTATCTTCAGTAGCTTATGGATAAAATATGGTAATTCTAATAGTTTAATAATAGTTTAATAAAATAATAGTTTTAATAACAGTTTAATAAAATTAATTAATAAAATTAATTAGATTTTTGGAAATTACCAAGCGAGCCCCCTTCATGGTCCCCTGATAACCCAGGGGGTCCTGACCTCAACTTTGGGAACTACAACACCAAACCAGACAATATATCTCTTTAAACTATAACAAATATTCATATTCAAGTCATTGTTCAAGGTTAAAATGTGTTGGAAAAAAGACCTTAAGAGGACTCATGATGCAATTCAACAGCATAAATTAAAAGGTAAAAAAATACAAACATGAATCACAAAATTTACAGATATTTTTTGCAGTGTTTTACATATTTTTCTGCGAATATTTCAATCTAACCTTACTATTTTTCCACATTAAACAAACATAATACACTGAAATTAGTGCTCTGCTTCTGTGAACCATAAACCCTGCCTACTTTAATGTGATTGACCATCAAAATTATTTTAACATTAACTTTGTAGCAATTAACAAGGCCTAAAGCAGACCAACTTAAATGTATAAATATTTGCGTCATCCTACAACAAACAAACAAAGCATTGCCTAATGGAGTTTAGAATATCCATATTTCAAATATTGACCTCTGGCCATTTCTAATTACTGGAGGAATCATAACCCCCCAAATGTCCAAGGTGGTTACAGCCCTTATTACAAGAACAGCAGTCAATGATAAGCCGCCAGCATGACAGAAAAACATGCAATATGTGTATGTGTGTGTGCAGCTGGCTTGTTAGTGATGAAGGAATGCAACATACAGAGTCTGTGTGTGCCGACTGGGATTCCTCTAGGATAAGCGGTCCAGGTCTCATCCTTTGCTCTTTAATCTGCTGTTTGTGTCGCCCTCTCTATACCAACAGCCATACTATTTTACATCCATGTGCGTCAATCCATTCAACCCCTCTCTCGTGACTTTGTGCCAATACCATGTCAGATGGAAAGATTTGGCAGATGCTCTCCCCATATCGCCATCAGTTTATTTGTAGTCATGGAATTTTAGATTTTTCATGTGATAAATGTGAGGAGAGATGACAGACAAGACTATAGTGGAGGATTAGTGACATTGGCATGTATTCTCAAATGTGTGGTCAGTACTAAAGGTGGCTCCCTGAACAAAGAGTGTACATGATAGGGGATTCAAAAGTGAAAATAAAAGCATGTATGCATTTAAAACTGGCTTCTTAATTATACATCGGCTCTCTAATGAATGCAGATCATCAAACTAGGTCTTAATTAACCTACAGCATTTCAGATTATAGGATTTTTTACTCAAAAAGTGAGTATTGAAAATGAGTATTGAACACGCCCGGCATGTTTTCCTGGGAATAATATTTCTTAAGGAGCTGTTGACATGGAATTGAACCAAATTTAGGTAAACATACAAACAATCCAAACATAAAAACATAACAAAACAAAAAAAAAAATCAGAAAATATGTTATGTGTAAAAACAATAAAATGATACAAGAAGAAAGTAGAACTACTGAAACGTATTGAATACTTTATATATAAAATAATATTTTGATAACAATAGCTTAAAGACGCCTCTCATATGGAGAATAAAGTCACATGAATT